TGGGCCTCTAAAAATGCCAACTTTTTGTCTTCTTCTGCTCGGCCTCTAGTACCCGACACTTCTACCACCACTTCAGTGGTACCAGCGTACCTGCTACTTGAGTGTTTTTCCCCTCTACTCTAAGTGTCGCGGGCGAAGCCCCGCTACTCGAGTGTTTTCCCCCGCTGCAACCCTCAAAGTCATGGCCACAGGTAAGTACCGGCCCTGCGGGGCCTTGCAACCAACAAGTACCCGCGCGGGTCACACACACACTCAACCGACAACCACTCACACAGGCATGCAAACCAGCAGGCACGCACACACACACAGACTTGGAAACCACAGCAGAATGTGGGAATCACAGCAAGGCATTCATTGCAGTGGCAAATCCCAGAAATCAGCAGTGTTTTCAGTATGTGTTTTTGGCGGGTCATTACACTACCCCCCTCTTAAGAGCGAGGTCCCTTCGAGCGAGTAACTTATTCAGAGTCGGCACAAAATGCATCATATGCGTAGATCAAAAAAAGAGACTTAGTAATACTGTAAGGAGTGAGTCTTGCAGAAAACTTAGCAGTCTGTCCATCAGTGATCTGTCGTTCATAAGCGTTTACAACACGTGGAGAAAAACTCGTTCAACGGGTGATAGAGGAAGCGAATCTTATACTGTTTGTTCCTCCCTCTGCCTTCATGGGAAACGATTCTGTCTATCTCATGAGCGTCGTCGATAGGACAAGGTATCATAGGATCTCAAAAGGGAAAAGTTTCATCATTGATGTGTGGAAATAGTTTGGATGCATGAAAGACCGGATATGTGCGCAGATGAGGAGGCACATCAATCACATACGAAGGACCAAATTCATCCCCAATCACCTTCAGAACCTACCAAGGGCCATAGTACAATGGAAGAAGCTTCCGTTATACGCCCTCTTCATCAGAAAACTCTGACATTTTGACCCAGACATAATCCCCTACTTTAAAGTTCGGTTCTTTGCGCGACTTGTTAGCATGTTTGATCATGGCATGCTGACGCTTGTTCATTGCTGCGATAGCAGCTTTGAGCAGGCGTGCGTACTTGGCATTGTAGCCAGGCATGTCGGGCGTCAGACCAGGGGACCGTTCGGGGAACAAATAGGAGAGAGGATTGCGCAACTGCCAACCATAGTGTAGCTGATTTGGTGTCACGACAGTTGCGGAGTGAATGGAGTTGTTGTACAACCCCTTCACTTTGTACAACTCCTTGTCCCATGTGTTATGATCTGGAACAATTAGATCGCGCAATAGTTGAATGACAGTCTGGTTGATTTCCTCGGCCAGTCCATTGGCTTCGGGGTGTCTACCAGAAGTCTTGTTGAGTTTAATGTGATAGATCTGTGAAGTGAAGTCCTTCCAATCTGCGCTAATGAACCTGGTGTCCCGATCACTCGCAAGAGTTTTCGGGGGTCCATACTGCAGAATGTACTGCTGGTGAAATTCTCCAGTCACTAGCTCAGTTGGTGCATGAGGAGGTAGAGGAATCAAATTCAGAAACTTGGAAAAACGATCCACAATGACCATGACTTGCGAATGTCCTCCCTCGCTCACCTTCCCCATGTCCGTGAAATCGATAGAGACCGACTCACCGGGCCCATCAGGAATTGGGAGGGGTTTCAGCAGGCCATACGGCTTATGCCAATGGACCTTGGTTCTTTGACAGACTTGACATTCAACAATAAATTTCTGAGCAGATCCCTTCATTCCCGACCAATCAAACTGCTGCAAAAGACTTCCATAAGTCTTCTCAAAGCCGAAGTGTCCATTCCGACCATGTGCCAAATCCAAGAAATGAGTTCGGAGAGGCGCATGGTTGGGTACACACAAACGATCAAACTTCCCATACCGGCGGAATACAAGACCCTCGCACTCATGAAAATCAGGCTGACTGTTAGGGTCAGCCTTGAGCTGCTCAAGGATGGGACTAAGGTCTGGATCCTTGGCGGTGTGTTGGACCAGATCCTCCTTCAGTTTCCTTCGGAGGTCATACGAACTCACAAGGCAAGTCAAAAACTCAGGGTGACGCGACAAAGTATCAGCAACACGATTATAACAACCTTTCTTATGTTTCGGTTCAAAATTGAACACATCAATGTCATGCAACCAGCGGGTCAACGTCGGCGAGAGATCAGTTTGTGTCTTAATCCACTGCAAGGTCTGATGATCTGAGTATACCTTGAAGTGACGACCTAAGAGGTAGTGCTTCCAATGTGTGAGCGCCTCGGCGTAGAGCTCACGCATGCATGTGGAGGTAGCTACCTTGTGGCTGGGCATGCGTTTGTTGTAATATTCGAGCGGACGCAGGCCATCACCATCATCTTGTTGCAGCACTGCACCAATCCCAAACTGACTCGCGTCCGTAATAACCACGAACGCGAGGTTGGGATCCGCAATGCGGAGCACAGGATGACTCACCAATGCCTCTTTCAAGGCTTGGAACGCAGTCTCACATTTCTCACACCACGCATAGGCAACATTCTTACTTGTTAGTCTCGAGAGTGGGTGAGCAATGACAGAAAATTTGGGCACAAACTTCCCATAATACGAGGTCAAACCTAGAAAAGAACGCAGTTCGCGTAAGTTTGCCGGTTGAGGTCACTTTCGTATGACCTCAACCTTGGTTGCCTCCGGCTCAAGGCCGTTTGCAGACAACCGGTGCCCAAGATAGATGACGATGTCCCTCCCAAACTCAGATTTCTCTAAGTTGAGGTGCAGTTGTGCCTCCTTGAGGACCTACAAAACCTCCTCAAGGTGCTTGACGTGCTCTTCCATGGACTTGCTGAAAATCAGGATGTCATCGAGGTAAACAACGACAAACCTGTTAAGCTGATGGCGGAGAACCTTGTCCATGAGGCACTGAAATGTGGCTGGTGCATTCGCCAGACCGAAGGGCATAACGATGAATTCGTACAGCCCATCGAGTGTTTTGAGTGCAGTTTTGTGTTGGTCACTCGGATCAACTTCAATCTGGTGGTAGCCAGACTTGAGGTCGATCTTGGAGAAGACCTTGCACCCACCTGCCGCGTCTAGCAAATCATCTATGCGAGGCAAAGGATAAGCATTCTTTATGGTGATCCGATTCAGGCCACGATAGTCAATACACATTCGGAGTTGCCTCCTTTCTTCGGTACAAACAAGACAGGTGCACCGAACTCAGACTCACTAGGCCTAATCCATCCACGATCGATCATGTCATCAATCTGTCTCCTCAACTCCTCCAACTCGCCTTGTCCCATACGGTAGACGCAGCCCTTTGGAGGAACACTCCCTTCTATTATCTCGATCTTGTGTTTGACCGGACGCTCGGGAACTCTACGAGGTTCGGCCAGAACTTCAGGGAATCGATCTAATAGACGACGAATGTTTGTTGGGACTTCCGGTGGAGGATCATCCTCATCAGGAGAAAGAAAATCAGATCGAGAATTTACAGCAATTACAACTGGATTTGAAGTACTTGATCAGAAGTAGAGTGATTATTCACAGTAGAAGTAGATGGAATAGAAGTAGAGGTGGTAGAAAAAGATTTACTGTCCGAGGTAGAAAATGCAGCAAGAGTAGAAGGCACATGGAGAGGCTTCACAAGAGCTACATGTACATGCTCAGCTTCCTTGCGCCTGCGCACTGATTTGCAGAATTTGTTCGCACTCAAAAGAGTCACAGGGGACTCGTGTGTCTCATCCAATAGAACGGTACGCTCGTTTCCCTTGGCATCACGCACCACGGACCGATTATCCGCCCAGGTGGTCCTTAGGCAATGAGCCTTTAACCAACCCAAACCAATGACCGCGTCGAACAGACACAGTGCGATCCTTGTCAAAAGTGACGCGCACACCTTTGACAGCATGTGTTGAGGTGACAACATCTTGGTTGCCCACCTGGGTCTGACAAGGGTTCTGCAACTCCACTTGCTTCATTCCCAGGCCCGCCTTACGAATCCCGTTAGGAGAAAAGGAGTTAGTCGTTGAACCACTATCAATCAGTACACGGATGTATCGGCGGTTAATGATTAACTTAAAGAAGGTTAACTCCACACTCCCTTGAACACGACGTTGCTGCTTGAGCTGCAGCCAATGTTCCAGGTGTGAGTGGAAGTCAACTTCCTTAGTCTCTTCCCAAGGCTCGGTGTAAAGTACTTGAACTGCACCAGCCTTGGATTCAGCATCAGTTCGGGCTTCAAGAGCAAGTTGTTGATCAGATTCGGGCTCCTTGGAAGGGACTGCAACTAACTGTTCAGCTTCCCTTGCTGTAGAGAGTGTTGATGACTCCTCTACGCCCTTTGCCAGTTTCCCTGCAGACGATAACAATCCTGCACAACATGCCCAGGCTTTTGACAATGCAAGCACACGCGCAGTTTGAATCTTCTTTCCCATTCCTTTTGACTGATGCGGGGGGTTTCCCAAGGCTTGGTGGAAGCGTCCTCCGGTTTCTCAGGGATCTTCGCATTCTTGGGGAGGTGTGCTATAGTTCCCCTACCCGAACCACGGTTAGGCCCCGTGCTTGAAGCAGTCTTTTTGAATGCATTAAAGTTTTCTTCTTCATTCACGTCAGACTCAATGGCTGATGTAGAACAACCCATATCGGAGTCCGGCTCTAGATCGTCATCTAGAGACAGATCATCCGCGTAGGACTGATCTTCAGCCTCCCGATGTTCATGCAGGGCAAGCTGGTTGCTGCTTCCATACCGCTTGCGTTGTGATTTTTGACCTGCAGCGGGTGCCTTTGTACGCCTGGCGAGGTCCTTGGCCTCTAGGTGGACTGGATCCGTCATGAGCTCTCGCCAAGTGGTATGGTCTTTTAGTCGTAGCAGGGAGAGGTATTCTTTAGGGGCCACTCCCATGACTACATTCATGCAAGACACGTCGGTCATTCCCAGGTTTGGAGTGGTGAACAGACCAGTCAAGTGCTGTTCCAAAGCCTGCATCGAGGTCCTCCACGTTTGGCCCTTGAAGGCCTCAAGCTTCAGCCTTGCCTTGAGTGCAGCGTGCTTATCTTGGTACCGCGTGATGAGGAGGTCCTCAAGAGTGCGTACAGGAGTTATTTTCAGCCACTCAGTCAAGTCAATCCTCTCATAAGCTGCTGTAACAGCTTGGAGTTCTATGAAACTCCGTACGACGGGCTCAGTATTTGTGCCCATGATCATGCTTCGATCTTCCTGTGGTGTTCGCAGTACCTCGAAGTATGAGCGCATGGAGCTAATCCAAGAGGTGATGTCCCCTTTTCCGTCGTACTTGGACGGCAGAGTGGCCGCCCGCTTGTCCACTACGGGACCGCTGTACTGTATGCCAGTAAGAACTGTGGCGTTTTGGGCTGATGTTCCTGCATTTGGGACTATGACCATTGCAGAACTGTCGGCACTGCCGCTTGAGGAGCTGGCACCGGTTCCTGCGCTCGTCACAGTTCCACTTGCTCTCGTCATGAGGACTGTGTTAGGTTGAGAGACTGGGACTGCAGCAGGTCGAGGATTAGGAGGATGGGGGGCAGACAGTTGGGACTGTTTGAGGCTGACTATCTCAGCCTGCAGCTCTTGATTTCGTTGCTCCAGGGCTGTCACACGGGACTCAAGGTCTTCCAGGGTCCGCAGTGGAACCAAGGCTGCTACGACAGCAACTATCTTCTCTCGGAACTGGTCATCATTCGATTCTGGAACCGCAAGGAGGGCCACCTGATCAGCAATGCTTGTGGCTCTGGCTGCTGCCTCTGCCTCCGTTTCCCTCTGTACGGCATCGTCATAAAGTTTTTGAAAGAACGGTTTCTCGTTCTCGTCCGCTGCGTCCAGCATGGCCTGCCATTGGGCAGATGAGATGTTTGTCATGCTGGAGGAAGGGGTGTTAGTAGATCTCTCAAGAGGGGTCCGCTCTCTCCTCACGTTTGGACGAACACTCCTCTTGCCCTTCCTCACGTTCCCAAAAAGAACACCTTCGCTCTCCCTTCTCTCTTTCCGCTTCCTGCGCACGCGTCTCAATACTGGACATAGATAGTTCTGATAAAAGAAACAAACAGTAAATCACAAAGAGTAGAAGGTAGAACTCCTAGCCGGAGCGACAATTCATTTGGACTTAGAGAATGGCACGCAGCAGAATAAATAAAAAAATAAAACGGAAGAGAGGACCGACTTATCGAACGGGCCCGACCAGATTAGCAGGAGATCCCCTCTTGTCTAACCTGACAGGGTACATGTACCACAATAAATCAGCCGAAGAAAACGAACTGCAGCAATGGAGATTTTGAGGGGTGCAGACGGTCGTCGAGCCAGACGCGGGGCAGTATGTGATAACATGCAGTAAGACCAGTCAAGATCCCCTTGAAAGGAATGCCCTTGCTAGCCTTCAGCACAGCAAAGAGATGCATTGACCGCTACAGATTTGGGCCCGAAAGGTCCTGTCCCGTTGAGCCTGGTCCCACGGAGTCCCGAAGGTCCCAAGTAGGTCGTGGACCAGGACCAACGAGATAGGTGTACCAAGTCTGTCCCAAACTGCCTCTACCGTACTGAAAAGGAAAAGACAACTTCCAGCAAGAACTCACCCCTACAGCCGTTCAGAAATGAAAAGACATTGCACCGTAGAAAGATATGTCATTTAGAACAGATACAACATCCATCCATCCATCAGGTGAGAAAGCAATCCACATGCTCACACACACAGCCAGAACCGCAGAGAAGAGGAAGAGAGCCCAACACACCCCAACAGGCCATGAAGCACCAAGCAACCTCCCACGGGCATAACCAGGTCACACGACACTTACCTGTAAGGCCCAGCCTCCAAAGTTGGATAACGACTCGCCCCCCTCTCTCATAAGTCCTCCTGACCCCTAGCTACCACTACACGAAGTGTCCTAGCATGACTAAGAGGGCCTTCCTACACCCCTGTTGCAACGCCGGATCCCCCGCCGATGTCTGAAGACCAAAGTAGCAACTTGCAGCTCTTCGATGCAGATATGGCAGCCTCCGATGAAGTCTCCCTCTTGAGGGGAAGCCCAAAAGTCACTCAATGTGCACATTCCAGGTGCGAGTACCTCTTACTCTCTACTCCCTCTCGCTTACTCCAATCAGCCTCCTTTGTGTCTCGCCACCCATCCAATCACTCAAGCAACCTGGTTAGGTCTGATGTCGACCCTACATGACCTAACCAGGTGGGGGCAGCATCCACATACCTCACTGCCCCACTTAACCCTAACTTCCTAACCCTAATCCGAGATTAGGTTAGCCCTAACCTAACTCAGAATTAGGTTTAGGGTGACTAACACCTCTCGCCAGCAAGTAATTCCGCTCCGACACCAATTGTTACGATCCTGGTCATTTCCAAAGTGCAAATGCCACCCAATTGCGAAAGAAATGAAAGCACTTGCAAAGAGAAAGAGACCAGAGGAGAGAGAAAGAAGAAGAAGAAGAAGAAGAAGAAGAAGAAGAAGAAGATGTACACCAGCAAGACCAATGACAATCCCCCTTCTCTCTCTCCACCTTCCTCCTCCTCCTTCACTTCGCCTGTCTTATTCTTCTCGCAATAATAATAATAACAATGAATGGATGAACTAGAATCAATATCCGAAGTTCCCTCTTACTGCTGACTCAACAACAACAACAACAACAACAACAAGTCCACCATAGCTATGGCTTCCCTCCTTCGGCCTCCTCTCTCATGCAAAGGCTATGGCGGACTACTGAGGGCCCTGCCCTCCTGTCCAAAGGACAACCCAAAGCAGCTATGGCGCTGCAGTCCTGTCCAAAGGACAACCCAAAGCAGCTATGATGCTGCTGACTGGTCCTCCATGCCTGACTCTGCCTCGAGCTTCCTTGGTGCGGCACTACCCCAACTGGGGCCTTCCAGATGAAGTGCTCCACAAGGTGATGAAAACGGTGTCCACCATAGCCAGGTAGGTGCCTCGCCACTTTCCTCCTTAGCCCCCTTCTTCCTCCTCCTCAAGCTGGGCTGCTCGCCATAGCCAGGCTGAGCGCCAGCTGCCCTTCACCTCCAAGCAATGCTGTATCAGCCAACGCTGTGCTCCAGCAGCATGTCGCCAATCCTTGCATACCGCAAATGAGGAGGAGCTACTTGCTCCTCCGAAAGATATAGCGGCCTGCTGGCCTCCTGGGCGGTGACTTCCTAGGCCGAGCGGCCTCCCAGCAACCGGTACCTCCTCCCTTTCGGAGGGAAACATCATTGCAGGCTCTGCTAACCTCCGGACAGGCCCTGGACCTCGGCTACTGGACTGGTACCGGCCTACCTCTATTGGGTCTCTAAAAATGCCAACTTTTTGTCTTCTTCTGCTTGGCCTCCAGTACTCGACACTTCTACCACTACTTCAGTGGTACCGGCCTACCTGCTACTTGAGTGTTTTTCCCCTCTGTTCTAAGTGTCGCGGGCCTACCCCCGCTACTCGACTGTTTTCCCCCGCTGCAACCCTCAAAGTCACGACCACAGGTAAGTACCGGCCCTGAGGGGCCTTGCAACCAACAAGTACCCTTGCGGGTCACACACACACTCAACGACAAACACTCAGACAGGCATGCAAACCAGCAGGCACGCACACACACACAGACTTGGAAACCACAGCAGAATGCGGGAATCACAGCAAGGCATTCATTCCAGTGGCAAATCCCAGAAATCAGCAGTGTTCTCAGTATGTGTTTTTGGCGGGTCATTACACAAACTCAATTTTATACTCGGAATCTTATTTTCTCCTCTGCTTTATCTGCTACCGACGTATATGACTAGATCTCCCAACTTATGGCGTTCAGCCTGCCAATGATATACATAGTATATAGTTGTATCAGGTTGTATACTCAGGTTCCACTTATGTTCGCGGCTCATGACTTGGTCACACCAACTTATGGTGTGACTAGCTTGCCAAAACAAGTAAACATAAGGCATAGGACTGGTCCACACCAACTTATGGTGTGGTCAGTTTCTGCCTAGACAATCGACATAAGGCGTATGACCAGGCCGCATCAACTTATGGTGAGACTGGCCAGCCTCGACTTTCGGCATACACAAAGAACTGAACCACCTCAACTTACGAGGGGTTCAACCTTTGCCTTGGAGAGCAGTCTTAAGAGGTCGAGTAGTTGCAACTTGGGCTGAGTTTCAAGCATCGAGATTTAGAGGTGTGACCAGACTCTTTAGAGGGGTCATTGCTACCACTTGGGGATCGTCAGAGAGCCAATGGTCAACATCGTCACTTCAGTTTGAGTGGTTGCTGCGTGTTTTGGGCGTCATTGCGGGGCCCTCAGGCGATTGAAGGTTGTGAGGCCCTCTCACGTGAGTTGAGTTGTCCCATTCTTGGATCTCGAGAGTCTGACTTATCTCCTTCTACACTTCTTACTCTAAGTCTAGTATGAGGTTACGAGAGGAAGGCGGCAGGCGGGATTGCAACCCGTAGGACCACAACAGGACCTTGTGGGAGGTCCACCCACCGATTGCGGGAGCTCTGCCGGAGCCCAGGCGGGGTTCTGGAGGGAGGGAACACTCAGGTATAATGTTTGTTTTACGCAAGTGATCCCATATCTTAAAACATACTACCCTTTGTTATTGCATACCTGTAAGTATGACTGAGAAAGCTAACTGCTTTTGTTTGTTTGAATTCAGGACATGATCTGAAGGGGTAAAATCGAAGTATGTATGATAAATTCAGATTGCTTGTATGAATTTAGACAGAATGAAAATGTGACCTTATTTGTTGTTGTGTTGCGGAGGCTAGGCAAACGCATAAGATGGGGGCTGCTCGGCCACACGCACTTGTTGCTTGTTTAGGCGGGGCTAGATTACTCATAAGTTAAGTAGCCTAGTTCTACACTATATGTCATTGTATGGGCTGACTAGATGCACCATAAGTCAATGTGTCCTGGTCATATGCCTTTCGTCGATAGAGCACACCCCTGTGCAGTACTCAAAATGAAAGCACAACTCAGTAATACGTAGCCAGGCCATAGTGCACACAACAGTCTGCACGCAGTAGCCAAGCAAAGTAGCAATACCCACTAATAAGCCCTGCAAGTGCCAGGAAAAAAAGTGATTCGTGGTGATGCATGGCGATGCACAGTGTCGTCCAGCCGCAAGACGTTGCGAACACTCAGTCAGCCAGTGTAGTTCAACACCGTGCATAGTAGTTGTGCGCAGTAGCAACTCCCAACAGACGATCCGTGGCAGCATCGAAAATCCATGCAAAAGTCCGCTATGCAGCAACAAATGAGTATAGGCGAACGTCGACCATACAGCCTGCAACTGCCCCGGCTACTTCGAGAGAACTTTAGACGGATCTAACTATTGTATCCTTGTCGGTATTCGCTGTAAGCCTCTATTTGAGTTTCCTTCTGATTCCATTCCACTTAGGCATGTCGACAAATCTCATCCAGCATTGCCAGTTCGTACTGCCCACTCCTATATCTCCCATTACCTTTCTTCTTTTTCATCTCCTCCGTCTAGTCCTCCTACTTCTCTATCGAAAAACTGCACCTCCTGTCCTCACCGTCGTCCTCTGATACATCCGTCCTTATCTTTTCACTTAGTCCTACTTTCCTCTATTTTCCCTTCTCACTCCTTTCCCTCAGGCCCAAGCGCGCTCCTTGCTGTCAACGTATCTGGTCGCAATCCCGGTCAAGCTCTATAGTGCAAACTGGAGCGACTTTGAGGCGGACCGGAGCCTTGGACTCGACGCGCAGTAACTTTGAACTCTGGGAAGGCGAAGATTTAGGAGCAGGAAGTTACGACTCGCAAGTTCATGAATGCACCACTTAATGAGAACAACGATCCTTGTGCCTACTACGGGCACCGTCGCAGTTCCTATTAATATGCAGAGTGTAAATGAAATCTCCGGTAAAATACGAATCACTTCATCGGCCGAAAACCGTCGACTACTAGCTCAACTTGGCACTCTGGTTTGACTTTTGGTTCATCCACATCGCCCACTCCCTAAGGTAGCTTTCTTCCTCTCTCTGTCTCTCTCTCT